AGAGAGGGTTTGGGATAGGGGGGGGTTGGGGTGCCACCCTGGGCTTCTGGGGGAGCAAACTGGGGTCCCAGGGTGTAGGTCTGGGGTGGTCGGGTCCTGGGGTGCCCCCCCCCCGGGTTCTGGGGTCCCAGGTGCCACCCGGGGGTGTCCCCAGGGGAATTCTTGTCCCCCCCCAACCCCCCCACCCCATCCCAGCACCCGGAAGCGGGTGTTGGGGTGAAGGGGGTGGGTGCTGGGTGCCCCCCACCCCAACGCTGGCTGATTCCTCCATGGGGGGGTCCCACCTTGCACCCCAGGGTGGGGGGGGGACAACGACACCCCCTCCGGCCCCGGCTCCTGCCCCGGCGCCACTCCCTGCCCCCCGGCGCCGCCGCCATGTCCCCGCCACAGGGAGGGGACCGAGGTGTCCCCACAACCAGCAAAGGGGCAGGAGGTCCCCGGGGAGCCCAAAGGGGACCCCGAATGTGGCCAAAAGGGGGTCAGGGGGTCCCTGAGAGCAGAGTGGGGGTCCCAAGGTGGGGCAGGAGGTCCCCAAAGTGGGGCAAAATGTGCCCAAAAAGGGAGTCAGGGTGTCCCCCAGGGGGTCTGGATGTCCCCAAAGGGGGAGAAGGTCCCCAAGGAGGGGCCAAATGTGCCCAAAGGGGGTCAGGGGGTCCCTGAAGGGGGGGGTGGATGATCTCAAGGGGGGCAGGAGGTCCCCAAGGTGGGGCCAAATGTGGCCAAAGGGGTTCAGGGGGTCCCCAAGGGGGTCTGGATGTCCCTGTGGGGGCCAGGATGTCTCCAAGGGGGTCAGGACCTCTCTGAGGGGGGTTTCAATGTCCCCAAGGGGCTCAGGATGTCCCTGAAGGAACCAGGAGGTCCCAGAGGGGCTCAGAAGGTCCCCAAGGGGCTCAGTGGGTCCCCAAGGGGGTTTCAATGTCCCCAAGGTGCTCAAGATGTGCCTCAAGGGGCCAGGAGATCCCAGAGGGGCTCAGGAGGTCCCCAAGGGGGTCTCGGTGTCCCCAAGGGGCTCAGGAGGTCCCTGAAGGAGCTCAGGAGGTCCCCAAGGGGGTCTCAATGTCCCCAAGGGGCTCAGGAGGTCTCCAAAGGGTCCAGGAGCTTCCAGAGGGGCTCAGGAGGTCCCCAAGGGGGTCTCGGTGTCCCCAAGGGGCTCAGGAGGTCCCCAAAGGGACCAGGAGCTCCCAAGGGGCTCAGGAGGTCCCCAAGGTGGCCTCAGTGTCCCCAAGAGAGCTCAGGATGTATCCAAAGGGGCCAGGAGGTCCCAAGGGGGTTCAGGAGGTCCCAGAGGGGCTCAGGAGGTCTCTCGGGGGGGTCCCAGCCCTCTCCTCCCCCCAGCCCAGCCCCACCTTGTCGATGAAGGAAGCGAACTTGTTGTTGAGCGTCTTGATCTGCTCCTTCTCCTCCTTCCGCACCCGCTGGATGCTGGGGTCGATCTCCAGGTTGAGGGGGGTCAGGAGGCTCTGGTTGACGCTGACGGCCGTGATGCCACCCCCCGTCCCCGGGGCCAGGGCCGGACCCCGGTAGAGCCCCCCGGCTCCGTAACGGCTCCCCCCGTAGCTGCTGAAGGCTGAGGCCGTACTCATCCTCACGCCAGGGCCGGCGGTGTAGGAGTGGGAGCTGAAGGAGCGGCCGGGGGCGGCCGAGCTGCTCCTCACGGTCTTCCTGGTGACGGTGACGGACATGGCGAGGTTGGGGGGGGGACGAGGGCGAGGAGGTCGGAAGACGGGTGAGAAGGTGGCGAGAAGGTTGGGAGAAGGTCGGAAGGAGATTGGGAGAAGGTTGGAAGAGTTGGAAGAAGGTTGGAAGAGTTGGAAGAAGGTCGGAAGAAGGTTGGAAGAGGTTTGGAGAAGGTTGGAAGAGGTTGGGAGAAGGTTGGAAGAGGTTGGGAGAAGGTTGGAAGATGTCGGGAGGAGGTTGGAAGAGGTTGGGAGAGGTTGGAAGACGTCGGAAAGGTTGGAAGGAGGTGGGAAAGAGGTCGGAAGGCGTCGGGAGGAGGTCGGAAGGAGGCTGGGAGAAGGGGGCAGGAGGTTTTTAAGGCGGGCGGGAGGTTGGGAGAAGGCTGGGAGCGGGGCAGGGCGGTGGCAGGACAGGCAGGACGGGTTGGGGGAGACCGGATCCAGGGCGGGGAGAGAGGCCCCGGGTTTATATCCAGGGCTGGAGGAGGAGGAGGAGGAGGAGGAGGAGGAGGCGAGGGGAGGGCCTTCAGCCCCGGGAGAGCGGCACCTGCGCAGCCTTAACCCCTTCGGAGCTGCTGGGAGCGGCTGGGATCCACTGGGAGCTGCTGGGATAGGGATCCGCTGGGAGCTGCTGGGATAGGGATCCGCTGGGAGCTGCTGGGATCCACTGGGAGCTGCTGGGATAGGGATCCGCTGGGAGCTGCTGGGATCCATCGGGAGCTGCTGGGATCAGGATCCACTGGGAACTGCTGGGGTCTAACAGGCGCTGCTGGGATCCAGATCCACTGGAAGCTGCTGGGATCCACTGAGAGCACCTGGGATATGGATCCACTGGGAGCTGCTGGGATCCACTGGGAGCTGCTGGGATCCGGATCTGCTGGGAGCTGATGGGATTTAACAGGAGCTGCTGGGATCCACTGGGAGCAGCTGGGATACGGATCTGCTGGGAGCTGCTGGGATCCACTGGGAGCTGCTGGGATCCAGATCCTCTGGGAGCTGCTGGGATCCACTGGGAGCTGCTGGGAGCTGCTGGGATCCACTGGGAGTTGCTGGGATCTGGATTCACTGGGAGCTGCTGGGATCCACTGAGAGCTGCTGGGATCTGGATTCACTGGGAGCTGCTGGGATCCACTGAGAGCTGCTGGGATCTAACAGGCGCTGCTGGGATCCAGATGTACTGGGAGCTGCTGGGATCCACTGGGAGCAGCGGGGATATGGATCCACTGGGAGCTGCTGGAATCCACTGGGAGCTGCTGGGATCTAACAG